TATATTTAGGTACCTATCGCATGACTGAATGGATCACAAGGTATGAACAGCACTATAACACACAAATGCATAAACTGTATTTGCGATTTGCCATATTTTATATTTGGATACTTGAATATCATATCTATTATCACTTTACATAACATTTATGTTCATATGTACAGGGACATTCTAGCTGAATAAAACACATTATTGTACTCATCGTCCCCCATCATATATATGCTATTCACTCCGTAAAAAATACATTAAGACAATTTCCCCCAAAGACTGTCAAGCACCATTTCCTGTTGCATAATATGCCTACAAAGAAAACCTTCTTCCGAGACCCCCCCCCCTCCGCTTGACAGGCATTATAAAATTTCTTTTATAAAAAAAGTCATGCGCTGTCAATATCCGGTCTTTGTCCCCCGGGCAATAATGCGCTTTTCGCGTTTATCTGGATAACAAATGTTGCTGAAAATGAGTTAAATTTGGAGTCTAGAAATGTGTCGTGATTATATAGTCATTTTAATATTGTCATTGTTTTGCTTGTCCCATGATATATTAAATTATTTACCATTTACTATAAATTTCATCGAGTATATGGACTATAGTTATTAATTTATGGGAGAAAGTTATCTTTTCATGATTAACATCCGTAAATAAAGATTTTACTTACGAAAAAAAATGAATTCATGTTTTTCAAAAAATGAATTTTAATAAATTTGAAAATACAATTGATACAGTGTTAATGTTGTCTTTAATAAACTAATTGACAAACTGGTTCATTCATCCTCTCATCAGTGTGTATCCACTCTGAATTTATAAACTAATTGTAATGTTATGAAATACTTTGTCACGCAAAACGTATATTCGAAGAGCCATATAATTGATATGAAATGTTCAATACGTTTCGTGTTATACGCAGAATATGATAATAATTTTCCTCATCACAATACAATGTGCATGCTCCCATTGGATTTGCCACTAGTTTAGATAGACACAAATCTGAAGAATGTTTCCATTTTCATTCATTTCATTCAATAAATATAAACTAAAAAAAAACATGTATCATTTGTGCCATCAGGGCGGATCTTATAGGATATGGAAACAAAGATCAACAAGGACAGGCAACATTCAATGAATGCATCCCTCCTCCCCAAAACATCCCAGCATCACCGGACCACTTGGAAGAAGCCCTGTAGAACACCGAACAAATTTAGGAGAGGCAAAAACACGAACGGACAGTCATTACAAACAATTCAAAACAGCAAACCATAGGAAGCGACAAGGAACATTAAAGAAGACAATTAATTAATAGGTAAAAAAGATATTGCAGGGGAAGGGGCTAGAGGACGGAGGATGGGTTGGAGGCAAAAATGAAACACAAAAACTAGGGGGGATAAGGGGGATATTTACCGTAGACCGTAGTGTCACGACAAGTACCATGTAACAATAAACAATACATGCATCTGAGGAACACACAGGGGCGTCACCAGCATAAGCACTACTGGGACTTTTAATCGGTTAATGATGCACCAAACCACAGAAATGATTATGTATACACATATCAAAAGAAAACCCAATGACCATAACAAAAATGAATGTTACATTCAAAGGCGAAACAAGGCTAAGTCCCAATATGTTTTAAGAACTGACCATCGTAATATCAATTAACGGTGTGAAGCATTTTATATTCAATTCTATAGTTACCTGAGTGACTGATATATTTACCTTTAATATCATTATATGAATAATATCATACTTTTTGGGAACATTGATTTTTTGTAGTTCTTGACCACTTATCTGATAGGATTTAAAGGGTTGGTTTTATTTATGTATCGAATTTGAAACTGATAATTGAAACTTGTAACACATAAACTTAATTCAGTTATCCAAGTTTGGTACTGTTTATGTAATAAACGGACTAAATAATTGCTTTTTGAATCATCTTTTGAAAGGCGGAGGTCTACCAGTTGAATCCAAATATAAATGCAAGATTAAAGAAAATGATCAAAGCTAGAAGAAAACTAGATGATTTATGAGTTAGATAAGAATTGCTTAATATGTTTTATATTCCTGATATTAAGGTTCATCCACTTCAAAATTTGCTCCTGAGTTGGTGAGTGTAAGGAAATTAACTCTGAATGCAATCGTTGAAAATATACAGTCCGACAATCAAAACGAGCAATATTTTATGGCGGTCAGTTCTGCTGCGAAATTGGCAAATGGTGTTTGAAAACAGTATATTTTATACAATTGGGAATGCATAGTGACTATTATCTAGCTATTTTGTGGGAGGTCAGGGATTTTATAGTGGTTCTCCAAGTGTATCTTGTACTGTTCACAATACTCTTAACAAATCTTATAAGTGTGCATGTATAAATATCTTATAATGTGAGTCAATATTGACCCTATCATGCTGGAATTTTCAATAAATACAGTTGAGAGACCGTGCCTGGATATGATAGCGCCTCCCAGTCATAGTCAGAATTGATTGTTCGGGAGTAACATGTAGATGTAGATATTCCATTTATTCAATTGTATATAAGCACACATTTAATAAACATGCTCAATAAATGTGATGTTGCGTAAAAAGTAAATGTCGCAAAATTTTAACATCTGTGATCTCTATTCTAAATCAAGTTATGCCTACTTCGACTTTAATATCAACATGACAGTTTGATTTATCGTTGTACATTCATTTTTGGGATAGAATTTTATCTTAAGAAATCTTGGCTCGTTACTGGGCGGTGGTCTGTTGCACTCCACAGGGAAGCTCAGGAAGATTGTTGTCACTAACAATGCGTTATTTAATGGTAATTTCAGCGCCTATCATATTCAATACGATGCACTTCAAACTTCGGTTTTATCAATGTCTAAGAACAACATATGATTGCTTTTTTTACAGGATGTCTTACAAGCAAACGTCCTGAGCGCCAACAATCTTTCTGAACATTTATTAACATCAATGTAATGGAATATCACCAAAATCTCAAGACTTAAATGTGATAGAAGATATACGTGGTGAAATGAACCGCCTCATAACAAGTTTTGGTGCAGTGCCTGGGAATAATCGAAAATTATCCAATAGTTAATAAATCTACTCCAATATTATGAAAAAGATTGGGCCACATCCCCATGTTGTTAATAACAATCAGGGTTGGCATACACTATTTGAATAATTTTCAATGATACATTTATTTTTCGACATTTACTTATACCACACTATCACATTTATTGGGCATTTTTTTTATTAAATTTGTGTTTCTAATGAAACTGAATAAATGGAATATCATATCATGTCTCTCAACTGTGTTTATTGAAAATTTGAGCATGATCGTATCAAAATTGGCGCATATATAAGACCATTTATATGTGCACACTTATAAGATGTGTTAAGTGTACATGTATACATATACTGTGCAACAAAAACAAAATTTAAAATTCTCAAATACATCTTAATAGAATTGACAATGTATCTTAATAAAATTGGCAATGTAATATCGATCAGTGGTATACATGAGGAAAAAGTATTTCATATCAAGTAAAATAAAATGACACAGCACAGGGTTTGAACAACTGCACTTTACATACACTTATGCATAATATTTGAACTCCCCATGCATTAAGACAGCTTGATTAAAGTGGTATTCAACACTGATACACAGCACTCCGACTCAACCACACTTACTTTTCTATAGTGAAATAATATGAATGTCCAAAATCCTTGCACAGATTCTAGAAAATAACTTTGCTGTAACTTAAAAATACACACAGGTTATTGGGCGGGCAGCAATAGATGACCTTCTTCCATGGCAGCATTCAAACCAAGATCTTTGACTCATTATTATCGTGTAATTAATTGTATCGTATATATTTTTGTTATCGCATTGTCGCATTCACAAAAACATGACGTAGCGTAAGAGAGGTTCAATTAATGCCTTAAAAAACACACTTCTGTATACACAACGTCCTAACTTGCCTATTTTTTTTTTAGAATTTAATATCCACATTGGGATTCAAAGCAAAAAGATTCTTAATTACAACCGTTTTCTTTACCATTAATAACACAAACTAAAAAAGAAGTTCTAAGAATCAGTCAGGAACATTCAAAAATTAATTAATTGGCTCAAATTATTTTCTGTTTAACCCTTTACTTCATATAAACGCGTTTTGACGGCTTTTCGACCCCCCCCCCCTTTTTGAGGCCTCAAACAATTACCCTATTTTTTCGTTTGAGAAATGTTGCTAAGAAAGTGATCACTTTTTCGGCGCCGCTCCTATCAAAAAGGTACAACAGGGGTTGCCAGAAGGGGGATGTGCCTCCTTCTGTTTGCGGGGGTTGAAGGGACGGTAGTCCCCCTCATCGCCAAGAAAATTTTGGACTTGTGAGAAGCTAAAAATGACCCCAGGTCGATGGTAAGGTAATTTAAATGTAACCAACGCTGAAAATCCTTTGACTCCATCTCAATCCATTGAGAAGTTGCAGCACTTTGAAATCAATTTTGACGCAAAATAGTGATTTTCGGCAATTTTGAGATGTCCCCTCGTTGCCACGGTAAGAGGAAATTTAAGACTGAGCATGTCGGTACAAAGGCAATGGTCCAGTCAACATTTGTGCCAAGTTTTATTAGTATTGAAGCATTTTTCATAGTTTCATAGCTGTTTGAACTTGTAACAGGAGGCTTTTCAATGAAAACGGCCATTTAAAGACGGAAATACAAAACTCAAAGAAATTTTTTAAATCGACACTTTATTAGAAAATTAGATCTACAGTATACTGTATAAATACAAAAAGAAATATTTTCAACATTTGAGTTGAACTTTCTAGAGTAGAAAATGAGGAACATATAACAATGACTTTTTTTCCCTCAAGCAGATTGTATACAAGCCATAAAAATAAATAAATAATCAAAAGTATTGAAACATTGTAACAATTAATCAACTTTGGTATACTGTATACAGTACTTTCCGTTTATTTATATGATATACCACTTTCGCTAAAAGAGAAAAATTAATTCATCACGATTGCACAATTTTACGAAGCGCCGTCAACAAATTCGGGCAAATTTTAAAAATTCAAAATTGAATTAGAAACAACTTCCTCTTTAAATCATCAGATAAAATGAGCATGTCTATATCACCAGATCCTTTTGGTAGTTATATGTATTTCTTGGTTGATTTCTTTGTTCCAAATGTTTGATCCTGACAGAAAATTAACAGTTCTGGCCACCCATGCACCAAGGTCGGAGCTACTCTAGTTCTTCAATGAACAGTGGAAAGACATCGCTTTTTCTTTTTTTTGCAGTTTTACATTTATCGGAAAGTCGGATTTGACCAATGTAAAAATAGCTTGACTTCAAATCTGCGGTTTACGTCTAAATATGTGGACTACTAATATGAAAAAGACAAAGCCTCGAAGTTTTACTGCTTCCGTTTATTCTGGTTCCCCCTTTCTATTATGGTTCCTATATAAGTGCGCAGGACACCAGTCTACGCTTCCGTTTTCAATCAGAGTACATCGGCTTTTATAGTTCTCTTGTTATTCGAAAAGTTGCGGTGTGTCAATTCGGTACTTCGGACGAAAGTTTTCAAAACCATCACTTAGCAGGTACTCTCGTTACCGTCAAGCTCGCTTTGCGAGCAGGCCGTTCGGGCCAGCTCGTCAAGCTTGCTACTAACTAGGTTCTCCTTAAAAATTATATGCCCAAAAACAAATTCATTATTGCTGAACCCCCCTCGGTCATACCATAAACTTAAAGTCCCCCATTCCCCTATTTTTTGTAAATAATATGAAAAAGTCAAAGCCTCAAAGCGAGCTCGATTTTCTTTTACCGTAAAATAGTTAAAAATAATAGTTCATTTTTATTTAACATTTTCCGTTTTAAAATTGTTATTTGGTATTTTATACACTGCTTCCGTTTATTCTGGTTCCCCCTTTCTATTATGGTTCCTATATAAGTGCGCAGGACACCAGTCTACGCTTCCGTTTTCAATCAGAGTACATCGGCTTTTATAGTTATCTCGTTATTCGAAAAGTTGCGGTGTGTCAATTCGGTACTTCGGACGAAAGTTTTCAAAACCATCACTTAGCAGGTACTTGCGTTACCGTAAAGCTCGCTTTGAGTAGGCCCTTCGGGCCAGCTCGTCAAGCTTGCTACTAACTAGGTTCTCCTTAAGAATTATATGCCCAAAAACAAATTCATTATTGCTGAACCCCCCTCGGTCATACCATAAATTTAAAGTCCCCCATTCCCCTATTTTTTGTAAATAATATGAAAAAGTCAAAGCCTCAAAGCGAGCTCGATTTTCCTTTACCGTAAAATAGTTAAGAATAATAGTTCATTTTTATTTAACATTTTCCGTTTTAAAATTGTCATTTGGTATTTTATACACTGCTTCTGTTTATTCTGGTTCCCCCTTTCTATTATGGTTCCTATATAAGTGCGCAGGACACCAGTCTACGCTTCCGTTTTCAATCAGAGTACATCGGCTTTTATCATTATCTTGTTATTCGAAAAGTTGCGGTGTGTCAATTCGGTACTTCGGACGAAAGTTTTCAAAACCATCACTTAGCAGGTACTCTCGTTACCGTCAAGCTCGCTTTGCGAGCAGGCCGTTCGGGCCAGCTCGTCAAGCTTGCTACTAACTAGGTTCTCCTTAAAAATTATATGCCCAAAAACAAATTCATTATTGCTGAACCCCCCTCGGTCATACCATAAACTTAAAGTCCCCCATTCCCCTATTTTTTGTAAATAATATGAAAAAGTCAAAGCCTCAAAGCGAGCTCGATTTTCTTTTACCGTAAAATAGTTAAAAATAATAGTTCATTTTTATTTAACATTTTCCGTTTTAAAATTGTTATTTGGTATTTTATACACTGCTTCCGTTTATTCTGGTTCCCCCTTTCTATTATGGTTCCTATATAAGTGCGCAGGACACCAGTCTACGCTTCCGTTTTCAATCAGAGTACATCGGCTTTTTTATAGTTATCTCGTTATTCGAAAAGTTGCGGTGTGTCAATTCGGTACTTCGGACGAAAGTTTTCAAAACCATCACTTAGCAGGTACTTGCGTTACCGTAAAGCTCGCTTTGAGTAGGCCCTTCGGGCCAGCTCGTCAAGCTTGCTACTAACTAGGTTCTCCTTAAGAATTATATGCCCAAAAACAAATTCATTATTGCTGAACCCCCCTCGGTCATACCATAAATTTAAAGTCCCCCATTCCCCTATTTTTTGTAAATAATATGAAAAAGTCAAAGCCTCAAAGCGAGCTCGATTTTCCTTTACCGTAAAATAGTTAAGAATAATAGTTCATTTTTATTTAACATTTTCCGTTTTAAAATTGTCATTTGGTATTTTATACACTGCTTCTGTTTATTCTGGTTCCCCCTTTCTATTATGGTTCCTATATAAGTGCGCAGGACACCAGTCTACGCTTCCGTTTTCAATCAGAGTACATCGGCTTTTATCATTATCTTGTTATTCGAAAAGTTGCGGTGTGTCAATTCGGTACTTCGGACGAAAGTTTTCAAAACCATCACTTAGCAGGTACTTGCGTTACCGTAAAACTCGCTTTGCGAGCAGGCCCTTCTGGCCAGCTCGTCAAGCTTGCTATAACCCCCTTAGACCAACTATTTAAAATATCAACCTGGAAGTTTTAAACTGTTCCCAGGGCTCGAATTTAACTTTTTTGGCCACTAGCAATTTTTTGCTAGTGGACAAATTTTTAACTAGCAAAAACTGAATTCAACTAGCACTTTTTACCACAATGATTTTTTAATTCCAAAATTGTTTAAAATTGTAATTTATTTGGACGAGTTCGAACTGCCCAGGGTACGAATCAGCGACGTAACTTTCTACTCAAAAACTTGATTTAGGGGACAGGGATTCTTATCAAATGTCAATCTACATGTAAAAAAATAATAATGCAATATTGTCGCCATACCGACGATGTCTGGTCTGGATTATGAGCACAACAATCGGCGCAAAATATTTTGGCAACAATTCCATCGTCATCGAGTTAGTACGTAAGACTGACATGCAGTTCTTTCTCCCAATTTTTAACTGAAGGTCTGATTGTCTTTCTTTTGATAGACTGTGAATCATCTTCTGTACTCAGAGTATTGTTATCGGAAGACACATTTGCTTCAGTAAGTGGGAAGAAGTTTGTTATTTTTCGTTTAGACATTTTATTCCGATCACGCTTGATTTACACGGACAAAATGACATTTGGACTGGTTTAAATTTGTGTACTTTTTTAAGCGAGGTTAAGGTATAGAAAATGTAAACCAGACAGCAAGTGCGCGCATAGTTTATAACTCGGCTACCTGCGAATATTACGCCCCATTTATATTTCAGATTTTCCTGACGAGCGTATTCCGTTTTTTCTTCAACTCGCAAAAAATTGCTAGTAGTCATAAATCTAACTCGCAAAATCATTTTTCAACTAGCATTTTGCGAGTTTGCGAGTGTTAAATTCGAGCCCTGGTTCCACTACTTCAAGTACTTGTTGATGATTATGATAGATGTGAAACTTTGCCATATAAATTTTATTCACTATACCTTTGCAGCATTATTCAATATTTTAATTGCTATGTTTAAACAAAGTCAATTGTGTAATATTTCAGGACACCATGCATCTGAACCAATGACAATGGGAACACCAACAAGTCCTACGAGCCCCGGTCACACATCTCAATATCTACCCAGTTACCTTCTTGGTGATTCCATGTCTCATGCGGTATCTGTAAGTTTCATATTTTACAATAAAAGACATCCAGACCTTGATAAATCCACTCCTCCGCTCGCAAATTTGTGAGTGAAAGTTCGGGTCAGCGAGCAAAAAATAATCAATAAGGCAAGTAAGATTCTCCTGATGCACATGATGTTTCTCTAAAGATTTAATGTAAATGAGGTTTTAAGGTAAAAAACAAACAAACTGCAGACGCCATTTCAATCGTAATATTGTCAAATAAAAACTGGAAATTGACCTTATGACTAGGTATAAAACTTCACCAATTCTGTAATGACAGGAACATTTGACAATGTTTTATACATAAGTCATAACGTGTTTGGTAATGTTTTATACTTGGCCATGAGGTTGCTATCTTAGCTGAGTGCCTGCGTGCGTCAGAATTTAAATGAAATTAGTATCCAGGTTATGTTGAAGATTTTATATTAAAAGAAAGAAAAGTATTATAAACATTATTTAACAATATGTAAATGAATAACGCCAGTTATACAAATATAGACTGGTGAATACTGAATAGTAAATTTGAGTCTTATGTTTGATTTTTACAAATTTGTTCGTCAAAATGCATGGCAAGTACATTTTAGGAAGGGCGGGTAAATTTGAAGGGTCACTCGCCCATTAGGGCGAGTTGCCCATAGAAAAATTCATCGAAGCCTGGACATAGACTATCATTTGCCCCCAAATAAGTACATGTAGATAAGTTGTGGTATAATGTTGTTGTTGGTGTTTTTTTTTTGACAAATTTGAGACGGCCCAATTTCATTTGAGGCGGTCTAATCGGCCGCTTGCTGTCTCCTAATGACAACCTTTATTTTTGGCTAAAATTGCTAACTTTAGAAGTAAGAAAGTTAGTGCGGGTTGAGATTTTTTTTTTTATTTTATTGAAAATTTTGATTGGGGAGCTTAAAGTATTATTTTTGGGTTGTTGCTACTTGTAATTTGTGCCCTTCTATTGAAAACTTTTACCTTGACCATATTGAAATATAACTTTGACAGGTATATGACCTACATGTAGTTAGTCTTGGTGAAATTTTTAAAATTTTAAATGTGACATTTGCACATATTCTCAGATAATTGTTGCTATAATCATATATTGACAAATTTTCATATTGTAATTTGTAATTATTCCTGAACTTAATTACTTCCTCAATTTTCAGATGTAATGAAATTTAATGATAATCTTACATATTAAGCCTTACATTTAGTCCATAGGACATCATTTGCTTCTTCTGACTTCAAAATATGACTATGTTCAACAGAGTTATTGGCATACTTTAACAATTTTATATGTTACAGTTCTCATTTTCTGACATAATTTCTAGAAAATGTGGATCTTTATTCTTCATATATTATGAATATTTACAGCCGGTATCATCCAGATTATGGTCTGGTGCTGGTGGAAGTCCGCCTAGGTCATCACATCGTGCCAGTTCTTTAACTTCACCAAATTATAATATGTCAGCAAATCAACAGTACACACCAAGGTAAAGTTTGAAAAAGATTTTGATACTTAATCTGCTTAATTTCCAGAATAGACGTACGTCACTTGTCCGACAGTCAAGTTTTTATTTGTGGATACCATAATGGAAATTTGGAGGAAGGTCTATGCACTAACCAGTAAAAATCATATCTGTCTAGTGACTGCAATAATTCTGCATGGACGTGCATATATGCCTGGTTCTATATCAAAAGTTTTGAAGTCATAACCTGTTATAGGTTTCAGAATTTAAATTTGTAATGGTCAGCTTGGATAAAACATCACCTGAATATTGAATATTTGCAAAAAAATGCATTGGAAAAGATTTGAATTGAAAGTGCATGATGTAAGATTATTATATTTTGACATCATGATATTTCTTTTGTAAAATTGACAGTAATTGACAGTCGTATAGAATGAAGATTATTATTCAATTGATAAGTCAAAATGAACACAATTATCATCATAATTCAATGCTACTTTCAAATTAAATTTCAATAAGTCTAAGGTATAATTATTGGCTTCAAATTAGGAACAGGTGCATATTATATTTGCTTTACATTTAAATTTGTGACTAAATCCATGTTAAAATTCAACTTAGATAATTATTTGATATTTATTTCTTTTATAAATAGTATGAGAGGGAAAGATAAAGCAGGTGCACCACCAATTAGAAGTCTCCTTCAGAGTACAAGCCCTGCCCACCCTGGAGCTAGCAGTCCATTTGCCACACCTACTCAGGTATATAAATGTTTCATTATTAATATTTTCTTTGCCTTTAAAGCGGATCAGTGGTACGGTGGTAACATGCTGGCCAAGTTTCCAAAGGTCACAAGTATGATGCCCTGTACCTCAAGTACCAATACTAAATGTTTGTTTTGATATTTTATGGGTGTCCTTCCCTTAGTAATTAAAAGAAACATGGTGGACTCTTAATCATGCCAGGAAAATATCGTCTTACTCTGCAGGGTGCATCTTAAGATGCCCTATAGCACACAATAGTAAATAAACCAAAAAAACTTCCTTTCAAGTAAAAGAGCAGATGCAATGGTCCAGGGACAATATTTTTGTTTCTAAGCTAGATTGATCCCTAGCTACTTCAACAAAAATTACTATCAAGTCAACAAGGATGAGACTTAAAAAAACTGTCTGTGTCTGTTGCACTTTCTTCTGAAAAAATAGAATTACTACAATCTTCTTGAGTGAAGGGTTCTCAAAATGGGTTTCTTTTGGCTATTATAACATACATGTGAACTCTCCCACTTTTAGCGGGAGACTCCCACTTTTTGCAGCCATTTTTTCAAAGATTTTTCTTAGAATAAGGCTTATTTTCATAAATTAAAGAAATCTCCCTATTTTTGATGTCAGAACTTCCTTCTTTGTTTATTGCAAATTCTAAAATCTCCCTCTTTTTAAAGAAATATCTCCCACTTGATCATGGAAAAAAGTTCACATGTATGTTATAAATAAACACATATCACACCTTCCCAATGACAGGATAAAATTTAAATGCAAGTATTTCATTATGAAAGTATGTTCATGTATATTTTGAATGATGCCTTTAACCAAAAGACATGTATAGTGTTGCATAAGATTTAAAATTAAGAGGTATGTTCCCATTATAAAAGTTATATATTTTTATTAAATTACACAAACTTTTACTTCGATATACTTTCTAAGCTTATGTACCCCCTCAGCCCTGATAAATTACTGTTAAAAGTTCTGTGCCTATGTTACCCCTCTAAGTGAATGGTTTCTGATTGTATTACTTATGTAACATTATTATTATTCCATAATATTATGTTGTATTTACAGTACCCATCCAGAACTTCAGGATTGTCAACCCCAGCACCACCAACAAGTGGTAAAGTTCTTTTATTTATAATAAGATATACAATGTATGTATGGTAGAATATTATCTATATCCCTATTATTTTTAACTGCTCTCCTCTCACCTTAGTGATATGAATTTAACTTTATTTATGTGAGGAAACTGCAGCTTGTTTTATATAAACATTTCAGATGTTCATTTAACCAAGTGCCTGCTCATGCCTGAAATATTGCACATTATAGGCACCTAGGGTCTTCCTTAAACCCTTCACCTTTTGGAGCCAAAATAATTACTTTTTGTCACCAGTACAAGGTCAGGGCAGCATGCACATTTGTGTAGTTTGAACCAGCTTGAAACTATTTATACATTGTAGTTAAAACCACTTAAAATTTGAACACACTGTTCAAAATTTAAAGCATGGCAATCCATAAGGAAAGGTTAATGCTGGAATTTTATGACATGACCTTGATGCCCTTTCAAATGTGTTGTTCTGGGTTGTAAAGTCAACATAATTAGCTAAATAGATAGAGAATTAAGCATTCTTTTAATTTTAAGAGATTTAGAAAGAAAAACCTAAAATTGTACTGCCAGTAGTATAGAGTATTATTCCCACAAAATAATACATCAGATATTTCATTTTGGTACCTGTATAAAGCCACCAGTTCAGGAAATGTAATGATAATTGCTAATAATATAACTATCTCATTAATTAAGTTTATGCCATTTTCAAATGTTGAAGATGATTACACCGGTATGATATTTTATTTAGAAGATATATGTAGAGCACTTCTGGAAGATTTGAATACATACTCTTGTAAAGTACTATAGTGCATACTGGGGTATTGCATCATGAAAATATCTTTAATGTATGTAACTTTGTCATGTAATTGTAATACATGCATTTGTATTTAAACATAGATGAAGAGTGTAATAATTATTTCCAGGTCTAAACCACAGTTTACATGAGACAATGTATGCTACACCAGAACAATCAGGAATGAATGTATCCAGGTTACCAGCTTCACCTGCACAACTTGATCCATTCTATACACAAGGGTAAAAAAACTTTTAATTGTCTCTCTGAAATGTGACCAGAATGGCAGGATTGTATTACCTATTCAATCAGTATAAAGTCAGGATAAGTACCAAATTCTATACTTTAGGTTACTCGAATATTTGCTTGTTGAATAGAGAAAGAACAGAATCTCTGAATAACAACAATCTGACCATTTATGCACGTAAAATAAGTACATGTGTATGTATTTTTGAACTAAGGGTATGTGAATTGATTGAAGTACTTTATTCTATCAAACATTTTAACAGGACCCGTAATTTTCTTTATTGAACATAGAAGGACCGAAAGTGTGTGTTATTATGCAGTAAAATCACTGTTGACATTCTATGTTTTCACATGTGACATAACCGTTAGACATATGACATAACTGCTAAAACTGCAACACACAGAAAATAAGTACGAAAACTAATCGGGAGCAGTTTAACTTAATATCAGGTATTGCAGCATTTATTTGTTGATGGTCTTTTCTGGGCTGTGTATTTATATTTGCTGTGTTGAAATTAGTACATGTATATGGAGCATTAATTTTTATTGGCATGTACAATATACTTCTTTTAGTGTTAACCCTTGTACATTTTGTGAAAAATATTGTTTTTCTGTATTGATTAAATTTATTTTATCAATTATCTCCGTATTGACCTAGTTTTGTTTTGCTTTTTTTTCTCAGATAACAACTGAAGAATCAGAAGAATCAAAATAATACATCCAAATCAGTGATTTTATCAATTGATAAAATCACTGTCGTTAAGATGCGCATCATTTTATCACTAGGGCTTCGCCCTCATGATATACTTCCTTGCATCCGAACTCCAAACAATGATTTAATTGAGCGATAAAATCACTGTTTGGGATATATTATTTCTTAAATAATATTCTAAACATTTTAGGTGTCAAAATTGTATGAAAAGCTTTTAAGAATTATCATTTTGCATGAAAGTGTACATTTACATGTTATTATTTGGACTTTATTATCAAATGAAAGTAGTAACCCCCTATGAACCTGATATTGGTTTTAAATTACAGGGAGTCTCTCACAACAGATGATGTACTAGATGAGACTTGGATAACAGTATTTGGGTAAATTTTCATTTCATCATTTAATAATAGTATTTCTTTTATTGCATAAAGTTAAGTGATTCCTTAACTCTTACCACATTAGATATCTTATATTGACTTGTCCATTTTCCAAGCTGGACAAAACCATCACTTTTAGGAATTTTTTTAAAATATGTACTGACTGAATAGCTATCAGTGCAGACAACATGGACATGAGGGTTGATCTTGGTCTGTAATAGTCACAATGACATTAGTGTAATCATTTGCCACCAGCAGGCTAAAGGTTGAAAGACCATATCATAGAATGTGTTCATAGGTTTCATTAATATTTTTTGCTAATTTGTTACCAAATTAAATTATAACTTGGTATGTTCCTAACTAGACATACTCGGATCATATTCATTTAATGACTGTTTATTTATAGATAATTCAAGTCTGTTTCCCTACTTTACTTTCAGTTTCCCGCCTCCTGCCGCCTCTTATGTATTACAGCAATTCTCGCAATATGGAAATATACTTAAACATGTGGTAGGAATTCAGTTTTCTTACATCTGATCCATATCTAGTTGTTAAAATTTTGGCATATGATGTTATACTCCTGGTCGTCTGTCTATTAGCAGTCATTGTGTCCGGTCTGTATTTTTGAGCCAGTAGAAGAAAATTGAAACTACTTGGCAGAAAAGTTAACCATAATGAGACGATGTGCAGAGCACAGGTTTGACCTTTCTCAGATCAAGGTCACACAGAAGTCATTTTGTATCAATTTCAAAATTTTATGTCAGCTCTATTTCTTTTTGAGCCGATAGAAAGAAATTAAAATTTTTTGGCAGAAATATTTTTTATAATATGACGATTTGTAGAACAATGGTTTGGGCTTCCTGAGATCCAACTCCAGGGGTCACTTGATTTATATAATCAAAATAAATACAAATGTAATAAAAAAAATATCACTGCAGTATTTTTCACTTGAACTGTAGAAATTGGTAATTTTAAGTTTATGGAAATAAAAGAGTATTTGAACACAAACATTTTTAGAGAAGAAATAAGAGGGACGTGTGTGTTCAACCAAAACAAATATTCAAATATAATGGAATAGGAAGAACAAATATTTATAATTATAGCTTTGTATTAACTGCCAAATTTTCCACTGATATTGCATGAAACAAGTACATGTTGAAACTAGTACATGTATATAGTGCATTTTATTGGCATGTACAATGTACTTCTTTCACAGGTCAGGTAACCCTTGTACATATTGTAAATAAAGTCATTTTGCTGTGTTAATTGATTTATGAAAGCAATTAATCTTTGTATTGACCTGGTTTACCTGTTGTTTTTTTTCTCAGATAACAACAGAAGGTAACTGGATGCACATACATTATCAATCAAAAATACAAGCCAAGAAAGCATTAAGTAAAAACGGTAAAATTCTCGGTAACAACATAATGGTTGGTGTGTCCCATTGTATAGATAAGGTAATTGTCTTTATTTTATACAGAATTTGTTTTAGTTTGATAGTGTAGGAATTTATAAGCTTATAAACACACATTCGAATCCGTTCCTGGAACCAACCAGTACTAAGCAATGAGTGCAAAGTTTCTTGCTCAAGGAAACAACGACTTGGCCCTCTCTTAGTTGTTGAACTATTAAAGTGTCATGATTGTAGTAGTTCTTCAATAAATATTCAGTTGTAAAGTTTATAACTGTTTTGAAACAATTAAATACCATTTTAGCAGTGTTCTTAATATATTCAAACTTTAAGTTAGTTGTTCTAAAACAATTTAAATGCAATGATTGTAGTTTTTTATACTGTTCAAATATTATGGGTTTTTTTCTTTACATTTCTATAAGAAACAAATAAGAAAGTTACCATTTAAAAGGGCCAATTATGCACCAGATATGCTTTTACTTTTATTTTGAAAAAAACTTTTGTTTTTGGTGTTCTTAATGCCACTTTTTGACCAGTTATATTTTGTTTCTTTTGAGTACAATTTTACTATTTAGTATTTTGAATGGAAATCATTAACTACTTCTTTCCATTCTGCTACTACTTTTATGACAAATAATTCCATATTCAGTACTACTTTCATCAAGTGAAAATTGTTTAAACATTATAAATCACATGATTTCCTTCTCTTAAGAAGGAAAAATATTTTTTTCTAAAGCATAATGTGGACCTTTAAGGAATGTTTTTTGCATAGATTATCTCCCTTTTTAGAAAAATCTTTTCCGGAGCATAACCTGAATACCCTTGTTTCACTGTGAACTTTTTCCAGGAAATAACTTTGAAACCATAAGAGGTATCAACAAGAAACTTGTAGATAGATAGATCTCATTAAATAGAAGTGCAGCGCAAAAGAACCATAACTCTGTCTTCCTTAAATTTTTAGCTCGACTATTCGAAGAATATGAGAGCTATTGTAGTCGCCCCGGCGTCGGCGTCGGCGTCAGCGTCCGCGTCGGCGTCTGCGTTGGTTAAAGTTTTCTGTAAAGTCAAATATCTCAATTATTACTTGAGATATTCAATTGAAACTTACAATAGTTACTTATAGTAACAAGGTACATCAGCTTGACAAGTTGGATAACTCTGCCTACAATATTGACAGAATTATGCCCCTTTTTAACTTAGGAATTTTGGTTAAAGTTTTTTGTAAAGTCAAATATCTCAATTATTGCTCGAGATATTCAATTGAAACTTACAATATTTATTTATAGTAACAAGGTACATCAGATTGACAAGTTGGATAACTCTGCCTACCATATTGACAGAATTATGCCATTTTTTAACTTAGAAATTTTGGTTAAAGTTTTTTGTAAAGTCAAATATCTCAATTATTGCTTGAGATATTCAATTGAAACTTACAATAGTTACTTATAGTAACAAGGTACATCAGCTTGACAAGTTGGATAACTCTGCCTACAATATTGACAGAATTATGCCCCTTTTTAACTTAGAAATTTTGGTTAAAGTTTTTTGTAAAGTCAAATATCTCAATTATTGCTTGAGATATTCAATTTAAACTTACAATATTTATTTATAGTAACAAGGTACATCAGATTGACAAGTTGGATAACTCTGCCTACCATATTGACAGAATTATGCCCCTTTGGAACTTCGAAATTTTGGTTAAAGTTTTTTTGTAAAGTCAAATATCTCAATTATTGCTTGAGATATTCAATTGAAATTTAAAATTCTTATTTATAATAACAATGTACATCAGTTTGCAAAATTGCATAACTCTGTCTGCAATATTTGCAGAATTATTTGCCCCTTTGAAACTTAGAAATTTTGGTTAAAGGTTAAAAATCTTCAAAGATATTTACTTGAAATTTTACACATGCACTTAGGGTCATAATTGGAGGGGCATAATTGTATGTCACTGACCAAGTTCCATAACTCTATCTTGCATAAAGGCTGATTCATATCCCGTTTTCTACTTAGTCTCTTGATTAATGTTGAAATGAAAGTTTTACATATCTCAATAACTATTAAAGATATTTATTTAAAACTTCACATATGCATTTAGGGTCATAATTGTAGGTCACTGACAAAGATCCATAATTCTATCTTGCATTTAGGCTGATTTTTCTCCCCTTTTTCAACTTAGAAATTCATGGTAAAGTTTTGCTTGTAAGCTGTTATCTCAATAACTACTGAAGGGTTTGTGCCTTTTTTGGGACAATTTTATGCATTCATAATAATAAAGCAGTGATTTACTTGATAAAACATCTTAATAACAAGCTTTTGTACCTTTTCTGTCAAATTTATGTATTCATAGGTAATTAGTATTATTATACTCAATAAAAAACCCTCGTGACATTACCTTCCAAATAGTCAAGCCAATTCTGTATAATAAGACTCTCTCTAAGACCTATAACATGAATTTATAAAAAAAAATTAGCCCTTTTGTGAACTTAAAAAATTTAACATTATCAAGGCTCTTTTACTATCAAGCACTTAGAATAGTCGAGCGTGCTGTCCTACAGACAGCTCTTGTTAATGAATGAACTTTGTATAGAACGGTGTTTACGGATTTCAAATTGATATTTTACAGAAAGTAATGGATGGCGAGAAGGAGAATGATTCTATGAACACATCAGTGTTCAGTACACCAAACAATCAGTTTACATCTACACAAAGTGGACAACTCAGAAATACTCCTATACGACCCCTAACATCTGCATACATTGCTGCAAAAAGTGAAAATGAGGTATGTGCATTTTGAAAAAGGGAAAAGTGCTTGAAATGATTGTTTTGAATATCCTCCTACTTTGACTTTAGATATTTATGAATAATGGTGTTTTAAATGTTTGTGCTTTGTAGAATTTTAGGTAATTGTTTTAAGTTTTGAAATGTGTGATGCCTGTCGCACATAACCCAAAGGTTTATAAGAAATGGTTGTTTTCTTGCCAGATTGGGAAAATTTTTCAATCTGTAATTCCTGCTGTAAAGTTATGATTTGCAGGCTGTCCAGCGTCCCTAAAATTCCTAAAAAATCCTAATTTTTTTCAGTTTGGCTAAAATTCCTAAAAAAATGAAAAATTCAAAGGGAATTCCTAAAAATGCCCTATTTTTTCAATGAGATTCCTATTTTTTTATCTTTTGTGATAAACATATCGCGAAACAACCATGTTTCAATCACAACCTAAATTCGAACACAGTCAGTGGAGCTGATGTCATGTCTGACTTAATTGCATAAAGTCATATGTTGTATTTACTTCAACTCATGCAGAAATGCTATACTTGATTGTCAGATGTTATCAGAAAAATAATAAGAAACTGTTTGTTATAAATGGAACAATGAAAATTGTCCGACTTTGACTATATCAAAATAGTCACCTGAATAAAAATATTTCCAAGGAAGTTACAATGTACATTTTTATTGGCCACAGAGTTTTACCATTTACCTCAGTCTTAGGTGTTTTTAAAGGAACTATTTACATGATTTACAACTAATTTTCATCAAACTTTATGTAGGGGTCCTTATTTATAAAATCTTAATTTGTAATCAAGTTATTTTCAAGTGATTACTAGAACAGATCTTTTGTAAGTGATACCAGACAAGTTTTCATATTTGCTAATTATAAGGTGGGCAACGTAAACTGGCAGTAAAATGATTGGATGCTTTTACCATTTTGCTACCCAATTAGCGTTACTAAGAAGTGACACCTTCAGCTGCCCTTTTTGTACACACTAACATGTACTGAACATATGTTATAACATATAGTGCAAGTTTTTTAAAATCTGGAAAAAACTGTTGAAAATCATTGAAAAAAACTGACACTGTTGTGAAATTTTCTACAATTTACTTGAACAAATTCATCATAGGTGTAATACCCTGCTGTTTTAATTTAAGTTTAAACATTCCTGGGAATGACTTGAGTAGGTCATATCGTTTTTTATTGTTTTTTAAGAAAGATCAAGACTTGTGAAAATGTACCAACCTTAAAATGAATAAATGTTGATAAGAAATGCATTTATAGCTAAAATAAATCTGAAGCATAATTTCCCCTTCCATTTATTATTGGCTAATCATAGCTTAACTAATTGAATATTGGTTGTTCCGGATACTTATAACTTTGAAAATGTTTTCATTCTAGTTATGTTTTAATGTAGTTTTTCAGCTCTTTTTAAAGGCAGTTGACCAGTGAATTCATTTCTTCACTATGGAACACTGGTTACACCTTTGCTATCACCGAACTAGAGCATTATTTGTGAGTTACTTTTGTGTCAAATATGCAAAGTTGAGCCCATATCATGGTCTTTTGAGGCCATAATTTAGTTATAAAATTCCAAATTTTAGCCCTAAAATTTCCTTAATTTACCGTAAAATTCCTAATTTTAGCCCTAAAATTTCTTTAAAATTGCCCTAAAATTTGCCCTAATTTTTTGTTAGAAGGTGCTGGACAGCCTGGATTTGAGAAGGATCTTTTATTGGAAAAGCTGTAATTTGTTAACTTTGTGGAATTTAAATATTAACAATTTGTGTGAGTGATGTTTTTGGACGAGTGGTTAAGGCCATTGACTTCAAATCACTTGCCTCTCACTGTTGTGGGTATGAAACCCTACAAGGACTTTGGATTCTTTCATGTGAGGAAGTTTTCCAGCTAGCTAACAGAATGTTGGTGGTTCAACTCAGCTGCCCATTCTTGCCTGAAATAATTCACAGAAGGTCAGCTGTGGTCTTCTTTCACCAGTAAAGCTGGAAAGATGCCATATGACCTTTAATGTGCTGCTGCAAAATAAAACCCAACCAAAAAAAAAACAAACAAAAAACAGTTATGTCCGTACAGATGTAAAAAAATCATATATTTCCTAGTATTTTATTAAATTTTACAAATCTCGGAGCTTTTTACCTATATGTGTTAAATTTTAAACATTTCTTTATTTTTCAGGTTGTACAAAATAGTCAAGCACCTAAAAAGAATACTGGAGTGATTAGCAAAGCAATGGAATACATGTTCGGATGGTAGCATAGTGTCACGTTTAGGATACTTTTATATATTGAAATAATTATAGATATGATGACTGGGTGTACAGATGGTAGTGTAATAAAACATGATAGACAACTAAAGTCACAGCTTGCAAACATGGAATTGAAACTATCTAATATCATGATCTTTAACTTATCTTATTCATGCTAAATGAAATATTCTCAAAGTTGCCATGTATGAACCTTAAGTCTTTTCTTTTCATATTCAGCATAATTTTTACACAAAATACACACATTGTAACAATTTGGATGCATATTATTCCGTTATGAAGGCACATGAAAAAAAACAAAACATTTTAATGTTGTTTTTTTTTTCATTTTATTTTCATTTTTGAAACAGATGATTTTTAATTTTTATTAATGAATTGACTTGCTATGTATATTATTTTGTTGATCAACATAAATTAAAGAATGTTTCCAATCAAACTAAAACATGGTTTCAATGGTTCCGATATTGAAAACTATTCAATCTTTGTCTGTATTGTCTTGGCACTCTTGGTAAAAATATTGTACACTTGTTATGATAAAGAAAGGCAATTTAGAAACTACTGGTAAATATGGAAGTAGAAAATGATGTCTGCGTCAAAGCCTTAGCAAAGAAAAAACTGATAATTTTATTTAGCACAACTGCATTGCAAACAATAGTGGTATGGAAGTGCTTTAAGTACCACTAACATTAGAGAAAGTCTGAATCAATTTTTGAAAATCATAAAGAATGGAAACTAAATACATGTGAAATGTGTGACATGTTAGAGATTTAAGGCTTTAAAGTTTCTGGGTAAATGATGGGGAATACATGTGAACACTCCCACTTTTAGCGGGAGACTTTCACTTTCTGCAGCCATATTTTCAAAGATTTTTCTTAAAATAAGGGGTATTTTCACAAATTTAAGAAATCTCCCTATTTTTGATGTCAGAACTTCCTTCTTTGTTTATTGCAAATTCTAAAATCTCCCTCTTTTTGAAGTAAAATCTCTCACTTGATCATCAAAAAAAAAATGTATGGATGGGGGACTTTTTGATATTAAAACAAAGCAATTTATTGTACATCATTTGAAATATTATTTCTGTTATAATGTATTTTGTTTTTAAAATTAACATAGTTGTATAGATGTTGTTGTAAATTAAATGGGACCATGACAAGGTTGTAAATTGTACTAACAACATTTCCTATTTTCCATCACTTACCCAAATGTATTAAAACAAAGGCTGAATATTCACTTTTTTTCCACATGATTATAAACAAATGTTTTACACAAATGAGGGATATGTAAATCTAGAACAGCCATAGCCTTTTAAATTAGAGGAGAATTATTGCTAAAATGGGCCATTTGGGAAAGTAAAAAGTTAAATATTTGGGAAAACTGCATGATTTTAAAGAAAATTTCTATTTGGAAAAGGTCTTTAATATGCCTCTGTTAAATAAGGTGATAGACCCTTTGTTGTTTGGCCTGTTTGAAAGAAGAACAAGTTCATTTAAGATATTTAGCAGGGGTATTATTAAAGGGTGAAAAACTATATTTGAGTTGAAATCATTTCACCTTAAAAATGAAAATTTAGTAGCGAGAGAATCTTTAAATTTCAGGATTTGAAAATATGTTTTTAAGTAAATATTAAACGTTTATAAACATTCCTCAACAGTAAGAATTACCGTAGTATACATTCGGTAACTGGGGTTGCAACAATATGGTATATCAAACTGGTATTGTAATATCATGCTACTGTTAAGCTTTATTAACGGTAATGATTGTTATACCCTTGGTTGTACCAAATATTTGTTGTCACTGCAAAAAGTATCGTGACTCAGACGGTGGGGAAAAAACTTCAACTTCTACAATCCGTTTTTGTTGGGAATGTGCAATATATCAAACAATGGAACTAATTTCTTGAAAGAAGTATTTTATCTTATTTTTTAGCTCACCTGTCACAAAGTGACAGGGTGAGCTTTTGTGATCGCTTTTCGTCCGGCGTCCGGCCGGCGTCCGGCCTTAAATTTTTGCTTTAAATGACATCTCCTCATAAACCACTGAGCCAATTTCATCCAAACTTCACAGGAATGTTCCTTTGGTGGTCACCTTTAAAAATTGTTCAAAGAATTTAATTCCATGCAGAACTCTGGTTGCCATGGCAACCGAAAGAAAAATCTTTAAATATCTTCTTTTAAAGAACTGTAAGAGCTAGAGCTTAGATATTTGGCATGAAACATCTTCTAAAGAGTGTCTACCAAGTTTGTTCAAATAAAAGCCCTGGGGTCAAAATTGGCCCCGCCCCAAGGGGTCATTGATTTTCCCTATATGCATATAGTAAAAACTTAAAAAATCTTCTTTTAAAGAACCCATAGAGCTAGAGCTAAGATATTTGGCATGAAACATCTTCTAGTGAATGTCTACCAAGTTTGTTCAAATAAAAGCCCTGGGGTCAAAATTGGCCCTGCCCCAGGGGGTCATAGATTTTCCCTATATGCATAAAGTAAAAACTTAAAAAATCTTCTTTTAAAGAACCCAAAGAGCTAGAGCTAAGATATTTGGCATGAAACATCTTCTAGTGAGTGTCTACCAAGTTTGTTCAAATAAAAGCCCTGGGTTCAAAATTGGCCCCGCCCATGGGGGTCATTGATTTTCCCTATATGCATATAGTAAAAACTTAAAAAAATCTTCTTTTAAAGAACTGTAAGAGCTAGAGCTTAGATATTTGGCATGAAACATCTTCTAGTGAATGTCTACCAAGTTTGTTCAAATAAAAGCCCTTGGGTCAAAATTGGCCCCGCCCCAGGGGGTCATTGATTTTCCCTATATGCATATAGTAAAAACTTAAAAAATCTTCTTTTAAAGAACCCAAAGAGCTAGAGCTAAGATATTTGGCATGAAACATCTTCTAGTGAGTGTCTACCAAGTTTGTTCAAATAAAAGCCCTGGGGTCAAAATTGGCCCCGCCGCAGGGGGTCATTGATTTTCCCTATATGCATATAGTAAAAACTTAAAAAATCTTCTTTTAAAGAACCGTAAGAGCTAGAGCTTAGATATTTGGCATGAAACATCTTCTTGTGAATGTCTACCAAGTTTCTTCAAATAAAAGCCCTGGGGTCAAAATTGGCCCCGCCCCAGGGGGTCATTGATTTTCCCTACATGCATATAGTAAAAACTTAAAAAATCTTCATTTAAAGAACCCAAAGAGCTAGAGCTAAGATATTTAGCATGAAACATGTTCTAATGGGTGTCTACCAAGTATGTTCAAATAAAAGCCCTGGGGTCAAAACTGGCCCCGCCCCGGGGGTCATTGATTTTCCTTATATGTGTATAGCAAAAACTTAAAAATCTTCTTTGAAAAAACCCAAATAGCTTTAGTTTAGATATTAAGCATGAAACATCTTTAAGTAAATATCTACAAATTAAAGCCCGGGGGTCAAAAGGCCCTGCCCCAGGGGTGTCATTGTTTTTAACTATATGTGTAGAGTAAAAACTTAAAAAATCTTCTTTTAAAAAACCAAATGAGCTAGAACTTAGATGTTTAGCATGAAACATCTTCTTATGGGTGTTTACCAAGTCTGTTCAAATAAACAAATAAAAGCCCTTGGGAAAAAATTGGCCCGGGGGGGGGGGGGGGGGGCTATATACAGGTGAGCGACCTCAGGGCCATCATGGCCCTCTTGTTTCTTGTGTATGATTTTAAAACTTGATTATTCAATGAATATTCTATTTATTTTTGGCATAATGCATGTACATGGTAGGATGCAACTTCATTTCATTAACAATTGAAAATATTCTCTTAAAACTTCATATATGTCTTAAGGGTCATACTAATAAGTCCCTTTCCAGGACCAACAACTTTGACAAATTGAATTATTGATTGTCACCAAAAAATTTCTTAGTTAATTGTTTGCAGTTAAGCTCTTACTCTTCTATTTGTCACTTTTTTAGGGTCTTGTTTTCACTCTGCAAGAGCCATTTACTCCAGCTCTGTTGAATTGTTCCCCTTTATAAACTTTGAAAAATCTTTCATGACCCATGTTTGATAAATAATAACTATGGATAGATAGCCTTGTCCGGCCACCTTAAGCTCTTTGTTGTTTAAATAAATAAAAATATGTGTTGATCCAGAATAGAACATATAGATAATATATTTGCTTATGCTTGCTTTTTGGGGGCACTAATTTGTAATAAAAGCCTTTTTTAACATTTTTTCTTTTGTATTTATAGCTTCATTTTGATGAGTAAGCAATTGTGAAATAGATAATATCTTTCGTGATTGGAAAATAAAGAGATGATTTATTTGCAGTTATTTGTACTTGATATGGTAAATTTGAATTGATTTGGAACAGCTGGAATATACCCCCGATGTCTATATTTTGTACAGTATGGAATTATTCTACTATTTTACTCCTGGCTTTGATCCAGTTTACAGACAAATAGATATTGTTATGTATTTCAACATGTAAGGAAAGGATATTGTGACCCATTAGGTACAGCATTTGTTTCCAACATACAAGAAAAGATTTTGCTCAAAATGGTTACCACATGTTATGTATTTACTATGTAAGAAAGAAATATTGTGGCCTTGTAAATGTGTAGTTAATTTTAAATGATCAATGAGCATTTGTTTTACTACATGTATCTGTACATAAACATGATTATTTGTACAAATTGTTCAAAATAAAGATGTGATGATAAATTACTATATATTTACTTTTATTTTATTACTGTGTGAAATATAGTTGTTATTCTGCCCGAATGCACACCGACATAAAGAGGGCATAGAACTGTATCTCGTTTTTAGCTCGACTATTCGAAGAATATGAGAGCTATTGTAGTCGCCCCGGAGTCAGCGTCAGCGTCCGCGTCGGCGTCTGCGTTGGTTAAAGTTTTTTGTAAATTCAAATATTTCAATTATTGCTTGAGATATTCAATTGAAACTTACAATACTTATTTATAGTAACAATGTACATCAGATTGACAAGTTGGATAACTCTACCTACAATATTGACAGAATTATGCCCCTTTTTAACTTAGAAATTTTGGTTAAAGTTTTTTGTAAAGTCAAATATCTCAATTATTGCTTGAGATATTCAATTGAAACTTGCAATACTTATTTATAGTAACAATGTACATCAGATTGACAAGTTGGATAACTCTACCTACAATATTGACAGAATTATGCCCCTTTTTAACTTAGAAATTTTGGTTAAAGTTTTTTGTAAAGTCAAATATCTCAATTATTGCTTGAGATATTCAATTGAAACTTACAATACTTATTTATAGTAACAATGTACATCAGTTTGACAAGTTGGATAACTCTACCTACAATATTTTCAGAATTATGCCCCTTTTTAACTTAGAAAATTTTGGTTTATGTTTTTTTGTAAATTCAAATATCTTAATTATTGCTTGAGATATTCAATTGAACTTACAATACTTATTTATAGTAACAATGTTACATCAGATTGACAAGTTGGATAACTCTACCTACAATAATGACAGAATTATGCCCCTTTTTAACTTAGAAATTTTGGTTAAAGTTTTTTGTAAAGTCGAATATCTCAATTATTGCCTGAGATTTTCAATTTAACCTTACAATACTTATTTATAGTAACAATGTATATCAGTTTGCAAAATAGCATAACTCTGCCTGCAATATTTGTAGAATTATTTGTTTTGAAACTTTAAAATTTTGGTTAAAGGTTAAAGGTCTTCAAAGATATTTACTTGAAACTTTACACATGTACTTAGGGTCATAATTGGAGAGTCATAATTGTTGTATGTCACTGACCAAGTTCCATAACTCTACTCGCATTAAGGCTGATTCATCTCCCCTTTTCTACTTAGTCTCTTGGTTAATGTTTACATGCAAGTTTTACATATCTCAATAACTATTAAAGATATTTATTTAAAACTTCACATATGCATTTAGGGTCATAATTGTAGGTCACTGACAAAGATCCATAATTCTATCTTGCATTTAGGCTGATTTTTCTCCCCTTTTTCAACTTATGGTAAAGTTTTGCTTGTAAGTTGTTATCTCAATAACTACTGAAGGGTTTGTGCCTTTTTTGGGACAATTTTATGCATTCATGATAATAAAGCAGTGATTTACTTGATAAAACATCTTAATAACATCTTTTGTACCTTTTCTGTCAAATTTATGTATTCATAGGTAATTAGTATTATTATACTCAATAAAACACCCTTGTGACATTACCTTCCGAATAGTCAAGCCAATACTGTATAATTAGACTCTCTCTAAGGCCTATAACATGAATTTATAAAAAAAAATTAGCCCTTTTGTGAACTTAAAAAAATTTAACATTATCAAGGCTCTTAAAACATCTTAATAACATCTTTTGTACCTTTTCTGTCAAATTTATGTATTCATAGGTAATTAGTATTATTATACTCAATAAAACACCCTTGTGACATTACCTTCCGAATAGTCAAGCCAATACTGTATAATTAGACTCTCTCTAAGGCCTATAACATGAATTTATAAAAAAAAATTAGCCCTTTTGTGAACTTAAAAAAATTTAACATTATCAAGGCTCTTTTACTATCAAGCACTTAGGATAGTCGAGCG